TAAAAGCATAGATCTAAAAAAAAACATCCTAATTAAAAGGCCTATTGTTTACCTATTAATAAAAACAAATAAACTTAATGAATTGATTTTTAGTTAAGTTTAATTTAGTCCATAATTGACATAATTAAAAAAAAATGGTTTGGTTAAGTTTTTTTTATAAATAAAATATTTAATGAGTTATGTTGTCATGTTGTTCATTTGTCATATATTAATTGCGTATAAATCCCATCATTTATTATAAGGTATTGTGTAATCTTTAAATTTGTCAAAATAATTTAATTTTTTTTAAGTTACTCCTATAACTCAAACTTTCTTCATTAATAATAAAATCACTCAAGCTTTTATTATCTTGTATCATTTTTTACACCATAAGTCATGCTAAGACTTCTATATCTGATAAGCTTTCATGTGATAGAAAGAAATCATAAAATGTGATAGAAAGAAATCATGAAATTGATGTGTTGAAAAAATAATTAAATTTCATATGATAAAAAGATGTGATTATATAGATGATATTCATATTTTTTTTCATATTTCGCTCAAAAAATTATTTACTATTTTTAGTTTGACTTTTATTCTCTTTTTTTTCTCTCCTTTTGAACTAACAATGTGAATTAGAATTAAAATTTTCAAGATCTTAGAATCAAGTGTATAAATGGTTAAACATCCAACTTGTCCATATCAAGTTTAAAGTTGTTATTACAATCAATGCTTAAAAACTCTTCAAATTCGAAGCTTTTCTAAGACCAAATCCTCACCAATTTTGGTAAATTTATATCTTCATCATAACATTTTAAAATTAACTTACTAAAAAATTCATAATTAAAAAAACAAAGATAGCAACATAATATATCAATCTCCTTAAACTATAAAGAAGGATTATGCAAATTATTGTATGTGACAAAAAAGAGGTTCAAACACAACATTTTAACAAATAAGGATGACATCAATATTAGTTGACCTATAATTCGTATTGTTACAAGATATCTAAGATTTTAATAGATTGTGATGCAAGGTAGAAGGATTTACCAATACTAGAGAATTGTATAGAAAATTAATTATTTTTAAAACATTTTGACCACTCAAAATTATAGTCAAAGTATTAGAAGGGAAAAACTTAAGCAATATAATTAAAAGAAACTACGAACTTCATTTCTCATGCTTGTTACAAGTATCGATCCATGGTTTTAATTGTCAAAAAATCATCTCAGCCCAATAATTTAAGTTGTTAAGTGAGGTCCTAAAATATGATTTATATTATTCTCTAACACATATCTTCTAGTGAAAGCTCTTTGAGCTTTAAACTTGGACAAACTCATATTACCTTGCACTTAATTTTTATCAAATAAATAGAAATGGTGAGATTCAAACTCGTGACCGCTTGGTCATCAAAGTTCTAATACTATGTCAAAGAACCATTTCAACTCAATAGTTTAGACTGTTATGTGAGATCTTAGGATATGATTTACATTATTCTCTAACACTAATGATATTATTGTGATCATAATGATATCTTTTTAAATGAAATTGAAATGATAACTTATTAGGTTTACTCATGTTAATTTGTGAAATTTATAATTCAGGTTAACCTAGGCTAACCCCTCAAATTAAAAACTCGTGTCATAGATACGACCATAATAAGTTTACTCGATTTGAGTCATTTATCTATTTCCTTTCCCTTCCTTTCTGCTTTCCTATTTAGGTTTTTATTGAGCTTGAGAGACATGAAAATTATGACTAAATTAAAGAGTTATAGGAGAATCAAAAACAAAAGATGTTAAAAGGTATTTTGTGTGTTGCAAGTATTAGTGTATGAGAAAGACTAGTACATTAAGGAGGCGTGTATAGCCTCCTTCGAGATATTATAGTGATATTTTTTATTATCGTTGAATCATCTTAACAAGGAATTCATTATGTGACAACATATAGTAATGATGGAGCTCATGTGAGATCTTAGGATATGATTTATATCATTCTCTAACACTAATGATATTATTGTGATCATAATGACATCTTTTTAAATGAAATTGAAATGATAACTTATTAGGTTTACTCATGTTAATTTGTGAAATTCATAATTCAGGTTAACCTAGGCTAACCCGTCAAATTAAAAACTTGTGTCATAAATACGACCATAATAAGTTTACTTGATTTGAGTCATTTATCTATTTCCTTTCTTGTCCTTTCTACTTTCCTATTTAGGTTTTTATTGAGCTTGAGAGAGATGAAAATTATGACTAAATTAAAGAGTTATAGGAGAATCAAAAACAAAAGATATTAAAAGGTATTTTGTGTGTTACAAGTATTAGTGTATGAGAAAGGCTAGTACATTAAGGAGGCGTGTATAGCCTCCTCCGAGATATTATAGTAATATTTATTATCGTTGAATCATCTTGACAAGGAATTCATTGTGTGACAACATATAGTAATGATGGAGCTCTAGTATGATTATGCAATCCATTCTTGTTTTTTCCTCTTTTATTTCTTTGGTTGCCACGATTGATTTTTCCTTTTCTTCTTTATTAAGACAAAAAGGGCTGCATTTTTTCAAAACTTTCAATTATAGTCTCTTTAATTTGAATTCTTTAAAAAGTGAGAAATCTAAATAATTTTTTGTTTAAATTGAGCACAAACCCGATGATAAGATGCTTAATGACTTTTTGTGAAATTATATGTATATGCACAGTGGGTAGAGAACTAGTTCCTATAATTTTTTAAATTCACATAATTTTTTATAATTTAAGTGTTGAAATTAAAATTGATTAAAAACAAGATTTGATGCATTGCACATTTGACTTTAACCATAGCAATATCCCTTCAATTTTAACTTGTGGGTTAAAATTTCATATTTTTTATTTTATTTCTTCTATCAAAATTAATTTCAAAAAGAAAGTTGTTACAAGGAAATGTTTAATTCTTACAAAAATAATAACAAGATACTCAATATTAATAATGTTTTTTTTTAATTCTTCATTAAAGTTTAAGTAAATCATTGGATGTGCAATTTCAACTTCATTGAAATAGCCATTTAGGTATATTACCCTCGATGACTTTATTTTCCTTCTCATTTCTCAAACATCGTTTAATATCAAACAATATCATTTGTTAAGATATATATATATATATATATATATCCAAGTTCCTACTTCTCATAAACCTCATTGTAATACTCCACTACATCCACTCCATAATAAATTTAACGCACTCTTACTTTATTATAGCTATTATGCATTTGGTTTTAGAATTCTGAATTAAAAAGCATAACTTTTTTTATATTATCTTAGATCTTAGACTATCCTAGCTAAGTTAGCCAATGACAACTCTAGCTTTGTTTTATAAAAATGCTCATGAAAACAAGTTTCAATTTCTTTCATACTACTAATTGAATTTGTCGATAGCGCAGAGAACCAATGAAAGGATATTTTGGTTTATGATAAGCTAAACAATAATAATTTTATTAAAGAATTTGTACACCATCACCACAATGATAAATGAATTTAACAAGTGTTCTGAATTTAACAAGTGTTCTCTTATTGATTGTTCGTCGTAGTCAAATAACTGCTTAGGTATTAAGTTAGCTTAACTCCATCTGTTTATCTATTTACAGCATTGCTTATGTTTGATAGTAAGTCCTTGAGAGGTTTGACATTACCACGTTGGAAGGTAACTTGTGGAGCATTATATTGCCTAGGAACAAGGTTGTTTATTATAAGGTTGTCGAGTCATATAATCTCAATTTGAGACGGCATGTAAGCCTATCTACACCTATATAATGTGTGATCATACTCTAATAATGTTGGGCTTGCAACAATGTTTGTTAAACTAACATATAACACCTCCGTACATTTCCATCAAACCATTTGCTCTTAGAAGATACCTTGGTACTTACTCCTCAAGTTTTTATACGAAAGATCAATTTTGTATTAACTTATTTTAAATCTGATTTAGTTCATTAATCATGACCTACCACATCATTATTGTCTTAATTCATGTTTGTTGTATTTTTCATCTCTAATTAGATGACTCTTACATTAGAATTAGACATGTTCATTTGATTATAGGAAGATCGTTCAAGAGAAGCCATTGGTGGCTAACTAGGGTTTGGGGCCACAATGGTGTGAGCACCTGCACTTCCTAGAAAGATATATGTGTTATTACGGAGTAGTAACGCCTGATGTTCGGAATGGTAACAGTCTAACAGAGGTATAAGATGCAGAGCACTTCAAAGTCTGTCCATGTGCTATTGTTTGTTGCTTATGGGAGCTAAACGATGAATAACCACAACGCGGTAAATCTAATTAAGCCTGCTCAACTAGTCCTTGAGCTGTTAATTAGCTGTTAAATTCTTCATGGCCTTGTAACTAGCCTCTGTCATGCTTATGATTTTTTTACCCGTCTATAGATCGATCAATCAATCAAATAATTTTCAAGATCAATTATGCTATCTTCGTTTCTTCCTTCCGACAACTAGGAACATAATCTCCAGCAATAGCCTCACAAAATCAAATAGTGTCTGAAATTTCAATCCTTATGAAAGATCTTTGAGAAATATATATTGTTGTCGAAGATGCAAAGCGAAACAGAGGAAAAAGGTAGAAGAAAAATAAATATACTCAAATGCAAAAGAACACTATAAAAAAGTGAAAAATAAATAAATTGGAAGAAAGTTACAAATTACATACAGAAACTGTGTTTAAGAATAAAATCATCCATATATATGTTAAAGTTTCTCATAAGAGTCTATATCTAATCTGGGAGATTATACTACGATGGATGCTTTCCTATCTTCCCTGATAAATCATAACTCCGAATCAATAATAACTCTTTGTTAATTTAACTGTTATTAATCAATTTTTGTCTTTGGCAGTGAACAACTACCAACAAGTAAATAAATATTTGCAAATTCGACATGCAAGAATGACAGATAACCCAAAAATTTCCTTTTTACCTTTTGGGCAAATTTTGCTAACGCATCGTATGCAGGGTTCTTTCTCAGCAAGTTTCATGCAAAATGCTGATTTCAATCAGAGCTAATATATTGGATTAACCAAGCAATGATTGTGGGAAAAAGAACATCATATATTGTATTGCTGTATGCTACAAGGATCAAGCCACAATCAATTAGAATGTAGATTACAGGTGTCAAAGGAGTACCTAAGCACTTGAAAGACATTCACATGTGTATGGTAATGGAAAGAACTGCCTTCATATAGCTTCACAGCTTTGTGCCCACGAAATTACAAGGCATGTTAGAGTGAGACTGAAGCAGTTATTATTTAAGTGGCATCAACAGTAACTTTGAATGTAGAAGGAGATGTTAGATTACCTTGGGAGATATTAGAAGCATACTTTCAGCAAAGAAGAGCTTCTAAGAAAGTAATTCAAAACATGGGCAGGAAAAGTGACATCCTTGTGGTCAGTTTTCAACTTCAGATACTTCAAATTGGAAAATGGAGAAGGATGTTTATTTAGAGCAGCCGGAATCTTTGAGAGAACCTGGAAACATGAAAAATTCATATAAAATGAAACCAGATTAAAGGATGTTCAAGAAACATACCCTTGCAAAGTAAATAAATAAAATAATTAACATTTTAGTTATTCAGTGAGCAACAAATGATAAACATTAGTTGGGTATGGCTGAAGAAAAAGTTGTCTTTACATGTTAACTACGTCAGTCTGTTAGTTATTAATGATAAACAGACTTGTTTTCACACAAAAGTCAGCAGCAGAACAAGGATATAAAGGATTTGATATTTCATCAAATGAAATTCTTTTAGGCATCGATAACAAAATAATAATAATAATAATAATTATTATTATTATTATTATTATTATTATTATTTATTCATGGGTAAAATATGCATGAAAGTTATACATAATAAAATTAATAATCTGTTAATGACACTCGACCATACTTGAATAAAAAATTGCAGCTCAAGAAAATCCAGTTTTATCAAATATTCAAAGCCTTGCAAGCCAACCAATCAGTGATCAGCTTGCATGGAAAAAATAACTGAAAGAGATGTATGCTCAAATTTATTGTACCTATGCCCAGCACGCCATCATAAAGAAGGAGAGAGCCTATGAGGATAAGAATGCATTTAAGATGCATGGAATGTAAAATTCAATTCTCCAAGGATATGTCACATTTCAACATTATCAGTAGCAGCACCATTGCCAAAATACAAAGCAAACTCATAGCATTTAAAAAAGTAAAAATTCAATGTCAAAAAGCTTATGCCATCACCTGTAGAATTCAACACTGCCTAATAGTTAATATTACAGAGTTGCAGGAATATGACTCCCAAATCCTAAAGAGTCCTTATCAAATGCACTTGGGTTAATGCACAAGCAAGCAACCAGACACGAAATCCTAAAATTCTTTCATGCAGTTAAGAGAATATCTTTCAACTATTCAATGTAAAACATAAAAGGAGGCATTTCTTGCAGTTAAGAGAATATCTTTCAACTCTTCAATGTAAAACATAAAAGGAGGCATTTGTCAACTAAATTAGCAGCACTCTAGGGAATGAAGTAGTAGTTAATGTGCTAGGAACTTTATGAAAGGCTAACAAGATGCGTCTAAATGAATGCACACTAAGAAAATCATTTTCTTAAAGATAGCCATGCAAATTAAGAATACAACCTCCTGCACAAATCTTTAAAGAAACAAAAATGACAAATTTCGCAATATCTCTAATGATGACATGCCATCTGAACTTCACAGCCTTGTACCACAAACTTATCTCTTAAATTATAGAATGTTTTAAAATATGCACCTCAATGATATTCATGGATAATGTCAAAGATTTTGCACTGCAGAACTGATGAAGCATCTTGATGAGATTGAGACCAAGCCCCTGCTCAGTTTCTTCTTCTTCTGAAATGTATTCATCTTCAACTACATAGAATGGATAGTAATGATTGTAATAGTATCTCTGCAAGACTACATTTACATCATCCAAAGAGGTAAGATTCACTTCAGACCAAAAAAGAGGAGTGTTCCCATCAAACTTGAAACTGGTAAGCTTAGGAGCAACTAACATAACTTTGCACCCCTGCTTAATTCTATTATATCTCCAATTCAAAATTTCCAGGCTTTTCAGACTAAGAGCATGAATATTGAAGTTTTCAATCACGTTTAAGCATATATCTTCAATTGTCAGATTTTCAAGATTCGGGCAACTTGAGAAAATCTTCCCATCAAAATTCTGAGCCCCACCAAGATGCAATGTCTTCAGAGACTGCAACCCCAATGATTTTGGCAAAGCTAGGCCACCGTCAACTTTCAATTTCAGGCTTCTCAATGATTCACAGTCAAAGAAACAACGAGGCAACACAATGGGCACATCCCAATGAACAGTATTTATAGATATCTCTTCCACGTGGTGTTTAACTGCATAATATATCAGAGATTCTACCACACTATACTGACAATCACGACGTGTATCTAAGGAAAGCTTAAAAACATCGATGTTATTACGACGTAGTAAAACATGACTGATAAAATCAGTGAAATTGTTCATGTCATCGTCATAATAATATGAACTTATTAAGGATGAAAAAGTCTCAAAATTGAAGTCAAGATAGGGATGAGATTTCCACACATTCATCCATCTTTTGGACAAAACACAGGTTTGAACAACCTGCACTGCGTCCAAAAAAGATAAAATGTGATGGAGAAGTACATTTGGCAGCGTACTGATCTTGTCTTCATTGTTGTTCAGCGATGACCTCTTTCTAGTCCTTGATTCCATTCTATCTCACCAACACTGATAAATGAAAAAACATTAGAATTACTAATTACGATCCATTAAATGAGACTACGAAGAAAATAATTGTTAAAATCCATGCTTTGTTGTTCCGATTAAGCCAATTAATTTCCAAAACCAATAACCAACGAAGACTGATTGATTGATTTTACTGCATACCAATTTGAAATTAAAAAAAAAATATTACCTGATTAAAATCTATTGTTTTGAATCAATGACCTAAGTCAAATTGCATTTGGAAGAAAAAATCTTATGATTTGCTTGGATTAAAACTGAGTCGGAAACAAAAAAAAAGTAAACCTCCTTGTGTGCTAAAACTATATTCAAAATCTTCCAATTAATGTAGATAAATATCAACCCATCTATCTGTCAATCCATAGGCAACAACCAATAAACCCCAATCTATTAAAGGCTTAAACAGGACGTGCTGCATAAATTTATTGCATACCCATTTGATTTCAAAGGGTTTTAGGGATACTCACCTGGGAATTTCGCCAGAGACGAGATAGTACAGGGGAAATTGAGAGATTCGTTTTGTTTTGTTTTTTTTTTTTTTTTTTTTTTTTTTTTTTTTATGGCGAGTGAGGAAGTGTTAAAGTCGGCGGGTTTTCACTGCTGTATGGAGCATTCTAGCCAATTGACCGCAGGCCGGATATATTTGTTTTTTTAATTAAAAAAACTAAACATGAACCGTTTTTTTTTTTTCCATATTTTTTACATTAAAACTATCAAGTACAAATAAAAAATATATATACATATTTAAATAAATAAATAAAATTTATAAATAATAATTAAATATATATTTTAAAAAATCTAAATCAAAATATTTGATATCGTAATACATTTTATTTATCATATATATTTAATAACTTTGTTAATTAAAATTATTTTTTTATTTGATTAAATAATAGTAGAAATCAACATACATAAACTTAATTAAATAAAATCAAAGTAAAAAAAATCTACCAAAATATTATGCTTATTAGAAATATTAATCAAAAAATATTTTTGTCAAATAAAGTTCAATTATATAAAATATAAAAAAATTAAAGATGAATTAGAATAATATATTTAAAATTAAATATATATAAAATAATTAAAAAAACAATTACTATTTAAAAAAGACTAAATAAAAAATAAAAATAGAGAAAATAAGTATTAATTTAAATATAAATTAAAAAATTATTTAAAAGACGTATAAAAACAGCTTGTTTTTTTAAATTAAAAAATTAAAAAAAAAATTAATCATTAATCAGTTAGACAAATCAGGTCAACACTTGAAGAAGGGCTTGCATGTAAGCCCTAATTTTTAAATACCAAAGGACTTACTGGGATGGTGAAAAATCAGTATATATATTGTTTTCACTTAAAAATCTAGTTTTATTCTAGTCACTTAATAAAAAGCCTAAGTATTTAGACTTTGGATATAATTAAAATATTGATTAGCATGTTCAAGTGATTAAATTAAGTTAAGTCTGTTAGAAATAGTTAATTTTAAAAAATTTATTTAGATATGCTCTTAATATAAGATTTATATATTAAAAATTATAAGATTAAAATTATTAATATGAGATAAATGGCTAAAAATAATTAGTTTAAGTGATATGAAATTATATTAAATAATTTAAGTAAAGAATAAAATAATTATTTATTAATTCAAATTTCAAAATAAATTGAAAATTTAATAATAAATGATATTGTTTTTATTAATAAATAAAAGACCCCAAAATCCCCTTCTTAACAACAAGAGACCATTTCACGTGCCCTAAATTGAGGTTATTATAGTTTTTCTCCCTCGTATTAAACTTAGAAAGAATGTATCAAAGACATTCAAAAGTTAATGCTTTATGTATATGGTTTGGTTTCTTATTAACGTGATTATATTAAAAAAAAATTTAATAAGTAAGACCATAAAAAAAAAAAAGATTATCAAGATCCATTCTCTTCCACGCACCAATATGAACCTAAAAACAAAAGTTGCAAGTGAGAGCGATGGTTGGGTGACAAAGTCTCTTTCACTTTGTTCCATAACCAAAACTCATTAGCATATGCTTTTCTCTTCTCCTTCGTTTAAAATCAAAGCTTTAAAAAATTCAGGAAAAGCAAAAAAGAAACTATAATTAACAATCTAAAATGCAAAAACCAAGTAAATTTGTCATATTTGAAAGTGTTTAAAGGAAAAAAAAAAAAAAAACACCTATAGAAACACAACATCTCACAAATTCAACCTCCTTTACAAAAAGAAAGGGAATGCAAAGAAAAAAGAGAGGAGCATGAACTTTATATGGTCATCTTATTCTTCAAAAATAAAAGAAAAAAAAAAGAAAAAAAACAATAATTAGTGAGAAATAAAAGAAATGAGAATGTGAGATGAATAATTATTTTTTAAAATATTTTTATTTAAAATACATATTTTTTACTTTTTAAAATTTATTTTTAACATTAACATATCAAAATAATCTAATTACAAATAAAAACATTTAAATTTTTTTAAACGTATCACCACTTATGCTTCCAGTAACAAATTGAGTTGAATTCTTGAATCATTAAGGTTTTAAATAATTTGAAGTGTTTTTTTTTTCAAATTTAGGTTATTTTCTTTAATATTTATCAACATTAAATTTTAAATCTCTCTCCAAATCTTATGTTTAGATTGATATACGAAAATTATTGCACCATGTATAATAACTACATTACAAAATTATCTACTTATTTACAACAAGAAATTTGAATTTGAACTTTTATATGAAAGAATAATACTAATATTACTTGAGTTGTATTTTTTTTTATTGAACAAATAATAAATTATAAAAATTTGCAATCTGCATTTTAATATATAGAGTTTAAATCATAAAAGAAAAAAAAAAGAAAAAGAAAAAAGTACAATGAGAGACTTGGTTATATCCAATCCAAAAACAAAGCCCCCCCCATTTTGTCGAAACCCAACGCACCACAAATCAACCAAACAATGAGCGAACGGACCCAAGCATGGGTTTAGGTTCAGATGATTTTTTATACAAACACCACCTCTACCAACTCCGCTTTAACGAACAGAAGAAAAGTATATTTCCAACTCTGTTATTGGCCCACAACCCGTTTCCAACATGACCAGATTTCTTACCGGATCCTTACCCGTTTTCCCTCCAAATTTCAACAACCCCACACCGGATCCTTACCCGTTTTCCCTCCAAATATCAACAACCGCACACCGGATCCTTACCCGTTTTCTCTCCAAATATCAACAACCCCACACCGGATCCTTTTTTATCTTTTGTTTTCTTCACCGAGTCCAAACTCTGAACCTTCCCGGATCCTCTGATCGGGCTCTGTGGAGCTCAAAAAGCAAAGCTTATCCAAGAATCCATGTAAGACCCTCTCTTGCTCATGATTCATTTTTCACCTTTTTTTCTCTCGTTTCATTAAGGTTCTTGTATACGCAAGTCTTTTTTCTTTATTTCTGTTTCCGTTCTTTTCAAAATTTGATTTAGTGCTTACTTCCTGTATTTTGAGATGGCCCATTTACTGTTTTTTGCTGTTACTTTTCAGTTGATCGTTATAATGGCTGAAAGATTGAATCTTGCGTTCATGTTAAAGAGAAAAGTAAAGTTAAAAAGTTGTTTTTCTTTGTTCTTGGAAAATTGGGAATTTGAGGATGGTCCATCTATGTTTTATAGCGTTTCTTGGTGTGTGGACACATAATATTTATAGAGGTGATTGGAGCTGAAACTATTGCTACTTTCGTTAATTTTGTTTGAGAATTGTGGACTTCGAGTGGATGGATTGGTTTTGAATTTATTGTATCTGTTGAGTTATGGTGTATAAGGAAGATTGAATCTGAAATGTTGGGTTTTGAGTCTATGAGAATTTAGGGTTTTAAGATGATCAATTCATTTGGTTTTTGGTGGATTGGTTGGATTTTTTTATTCATGGAGGCTGGAGCTGGAACTGTGATTTTATTGAGTGATTTAAGAATACTGAATTTTGAAATGATTTTTTTTGTTTGTTGTGACAATTGTTCATGTGATTGTTATTTCTTTGGTAGATGATGACACCACTGACAGCCATGATTTTGGTAAATGCGTTTGAATGTGGTGTGTGCCTTTTATTTTTTTCCTTAGAGGATAGTGAAAGTTTGAAAGAGTTGGTCGCTGAGTTGTTTGGCCGCTGCTTATTAATGATGAAATTGGAAGATCATTTGTGTATTGTTTCCTAACCATTTCTGTTGAGAGAGTTGCTTCTTGTGAATTGGGCTGGGTTGGTCTTTTTGGATGCATGATTGTCTGCAATGTTTTGGTTTAGGTGAGACCCACATGTTTAGTTTGTGATGCTCATACTAAAGGTATTGTTGCCAGGTAAAAAAGAGTATGAAAGTAATTGCAAAGCATTTTTCTTGTTTTCCGGAGTTTGGCCTCTCTATTGAACAATGCTACGTTTTGGCTTTACGTGTTTGGAATGTAATCTTTGTTTTTGGAGTTAACCCATCTCTAGGTCATCGGTCTAATCTAGTGCTGTTTCATGTCTTCTTTATAGATTTCATCAGTGTTGAAATTTTATCAATGGTTAAATTATTCATTTGTCACAATTTTTCTTGATTCCTGTCAAATGTAGACCCTGGCTCTTAAGCCTATGCAATGGAAGTATCAAATGAATCAGCTATTAAGAAACCAAAGAGGTTGACGTCTGTTGTATGGAATCACTTCCAAAGGATTAGGAAGGCAGATGTATGCTATGCTGTTTGTGTGCATTGTGACAAGAAACTCAGTGGGTCAAGTAATAGTGGGACTACGCATCTGAGAAATCACTTAATGAGATGTCTTAAAAGATCTAATTATGATGTGTCGCAACTACTTGCAGCAAAGAAAAAGAAGAAGGATACTTCCCTTGGCATTGCAAATGTCAATGCCAACTATGATGAAACACAAAGAAAAGATGAATATATTAAGCCCACAATTATAAAGTTCGATCATGAACAGAGAAAAGATGAAATTATTAGCCTTGGAAGTTGTAGGTTTGATCAAGAACAGAGTCGTCTGGATCTTGCCCGAATGATCATATTGCATGGTTACCCATTAACCATGGTTGAGCATGTTGGATTCAAAATATTTGTGAAGAATCTTCAGCCTTTGTTTGAGTTTGTGCCAAATAGCTCCATTGAAGTCTCTTGTATTGAGATTTATATGAAAGAGAAACAGAAAGTGTATGAGATGATAAATAGATTGCATGGCAGAATTAACCTTGCTGTTGAAATGTGGTCTTCTCCAGAAAATGCTGAATACTTGTGTTTGATAGCACACTATATTGATGAGGACTGGAAATTACAACAGAAAATTCTAAATTTTGTGACCTTGGATTCTTCTCATACTGAAGATATGCTATCAGAAGTGATTATAAATTGTCTCATGGAATGGGATGTTGAATGCAAGTTATTTGCCATGACATTTGATGATTGTTTTGCTGATGATGATATTGTGCTCAGAATTAAGGATCGGATCTCACAAAGCAGGCCCCTTTTGAGTAACGGTCAATTATTTGATGTTCGCTCTGCTG